CCAAATGTTCTTAGGTCGCAGCCTAGAAATCATTCGAAGCAATTGCATCTGGCCTTCAAAAGTTGACAAGTCTCCATGCTCGATGGTGAATCTTTCTGCCCTCCCCCCTTGTCGAATCACTTCTTCAGACAAACGACTGTTGGGTTGTGCATACACTTCTAACAAGTCAACCTGCTTACCAAATGCTTTGTGGTTGGTTTCGGCTCGGATGGCTTTCAGCAATTTGGCTTCGAATTCCGTCTCAACTACTATTTGAGTATCCATGGCCAAAGCCTCCCACTCTAGAACCCCTGGCTCTGATGCAATTGTTCCTCCATCTGGCGGCGAGTTTGGCAATAACGAGCGAAATCTGCGATTGGTGCATCCAATGAATTGATCCGGCTCAGGCACCATTGGACATACTGGCTGTCCACTTCGTACACCAGGGCGAATGTCTTGCCGGGGTGCTTCTTTCCCCAAGTCACCTTCTTTTGGCCCCATTGATCCATTGCTGTGGCCGTCCATGCCAGACTTTGCCCTTGAATCTGTGGATGGGTTGTCGACTCGTCTTCGATCGGCTGGCGGTTCATTCGCAATGGGCTTCCAGGAGCAGTGGGTCCAACCAGACTTGCTACCCACTGTGTTGGCGTCGATGACGAAGGAAGGCTTCCCTTTCCGGCTGCACTCGACTTGACTTTCTGCTGAGGCGTCGTTGGTGCCTGGGATTTCATGGTTGCGGCTGATGATCTGCCACTCGTAATCGGAGGTGGCATCGGTTGCTGGAAAACACGAACTTCCTGATCCCAGACTTCCAAATCGCTTTCTGAAAGGATCACGAGGCCGTCTTCGGTCTTTCGCGGTGACATGTTCTGCTTCATCATGAATGCCAGTTCTTCGATCTTCTCCTTTTGCGACTGGACTTCGGTCAGAAGTTCGTTCATCATCACCGCTTGGTCCTGCGGGACCTCTTGCTCTGACACCTGAGTTGCCACCTGGTTGAGGAGGATGGCTAGGAGGGTCTTGAGGCTCTGCATCACGTTCTCCGCAATCGATTTCACCATGCTCATCATGTCTCCGCGAGTTGGCATCGCTCAGACAATCTAGTGAACTTACTCGCTTTTCACAACTCGCACCAAAAATGCTCTCGACATTCGGCTCTGGATTACACAGATCTTGCATTCGAATCATGAGGAGCCCGGTTTTGGCTTCATGCAGTGGGATGTTTCTATTTAGTGCTTTCAAATGACATGAACTCTTTTGCAAATCAATCACTGCACCTAGCTGCCTCATAGTCTGAATCGAAAGCAGGAACGGGGTGGCCTTTGGAACAACCTCTACAATCAACCACATTCGAGTCTTTCGAAATTCGATCGGAATATGGATCTGCTTATAGCTATATTCTATCTGGTTGTTTCCGAATCGAAATGCGACTCTGCTTGCACGATCTTTCACTCGATCTCGGACGGTGATCGGCAGTTGTCCAAGGAGCATCGGAAGGTTGTCTTCACCGATTACGCTCCGGCTGGCACCTGTGTCTAAAATTGCCACGCCGTTCGTTCGAAAGCCGAGGGACTCTCCGGATTTACTGGTGAGCCCAGTGGCGAGCAAAGGCTTTTGCTGCATCGGCTGAGGATTGTGCTTCCTGACGATCGAATCAAACACTCGGTTTCGTTTGGCGAAAAATGTTTGAGTCTGCTTAATTACCTCTTCTGCAAATAATGCTTCAACGATTGGCTCTGGCTCGAAATGCTTTGGTTCGGCAAAACACATATGGCTTTTGGATTTGAACCCAATCCCAAACCCGACCTCGGCTTCAGAATCAATCTCTTCGAAAAGCACTTGTGCAGCTGCCTCATTCTCTTCCATCTCATGAGAAGCTGAAGCTACGTTGGCCTGGCTTTCTTTCAGGCGTTGAGGACATTCCGCCTTCCAGTGGCCAAGCTCTCCACATCGCTTGCAGTGGGTACGAGCAATCCTGTTCAGCAGCTCATCTTTTCCTTTCGAACCACCTTTTCTGAATCCTTTGGGCCCAAAAGAACTAGACCCTTTTCCAGATTTGCTCAATCCTTTGATCGGCCAGAATCCACGATTGCGCTTGCGCTCCACAATGCGGCCACGGGCCTCTTGGTAGCTCAGCAAAGCTTGATGAAGATCTGGAATTTCCTGAAAAAGTTCAGTCAACTCCTTCTCAAATCCTTGAACTGTCAGTGCATCGGCGTCTCCGGTCGTGGCCAACTGTTCCAACAATTCTGTAGGGACTTCGTCATCTTCTCCTTGGGCTGCATACAGACTCTGATCGGTACCAAAATGGTCTACCGAATCTCCGGGTGAGTCTTGTGGATCCTCAACATAATTTGTTGGGTAGACTTTCTTTTTCTCTTGCAATGAACCAGTGAGAACACTTGTTGAAAGACTGCGCATAGCCTTTTCAATTGCTCGTTCATCGAATGCTCCATTGGTCATCGTCAAAACTTTCTTCTTGTCCTCGTGCCCCAAATTGCTCTGCTTCAGCAACACAAAGGCCTTGATGGCCTTCAGAGTGGTTTCAGGGCCTACATCTTCAAAGGCCACGTCCAACCTGTTGACAAATGACTGAGTGCTTTCATCACTCTTCTGTGTAGTCCTGTAGATTGCTTTGTCAAAAAGTTCGAACGTGTTCAGCTCGGCGCTCTCTTCCCACGATGACAATGCGGCCAGCAGGCTTCTCACACCTGTATCAGGATTGGTCAATTGATCGGCCTTGATCGATCGAACCTGGTGCCACGCTGTACCCTTGCATAACATCGCTAAACGAGGTGCCAGCATATTGCGATCTTTCTTCGGGCATATGCCATCAACAAATTTCACCTTTGCAACATACTCCTTGATGTCGTCTTGGCTGGGGTCGAAACTCGGCAGTAATGACCAGATCGCAGAATTCTTTTCTTCGGATCCCATGGCTTGCTAGCGTCCTACACTAGGCCAACCTGGGCTCCGCTACCAATGTCACTGGAATTGTTTTCCAGTGCCACTGGTTGCTTCCTCGCCCAAACAAGGTTCCTAACCTAAACAAAAGGGTGGTCCTCCGCCCTTCCAAGGTCAGCGGTCCGCCGCCTTTTCTCCACCACTACCGTTGTCCTGTGTTCATCCCTTGAGCCAAACACATTGGTTGGCTGTCTGTTCATGAGGTCGTCGAATCCATGGTTGCTCATTCGAAGGTGTCCGGTCGAAGGCTTTCCCTGGTGTTCGATTCACATATACAATTGTATATTTATATAAGTAACATTTAAAAAGTCAAATCTATACACGGAAAAAAACTACAGGAATGGAAGGAATACAAGAAGAACGCACACGAGTGTTGTAGTGCAGCCCTGCAACCTCCGTAAAGTCCACCCTCTCTTCTGATCAAACATCATCAAAAGGCGCACAATGAATGCATATGTGGCCTTGGAGAGGAAAGAGGCCCACCTTGGTATGCACTTTGAGGGATGCCCAACAGTGTTCAACTGACTGCAGTGCATGAAGGGATACCATGATAGATCATTGAGGGGAAAGCAGCCTTTTTCGCCACTAGGTTGGAGGCCATCGCTACTAGGTTGGAGAGCATCGTTACTAGGTTGGAGGCCATCGCTACTAGGGCGGCGGGCAGAGCGGCCTTAAAAAGTCCTTCCAAAAAAAGTCCTTTAAGGAACAAGAAGCTACTAGGAGCAAAGGGCATCGCTACTAGGAGCAAGGACGCTACTAGGGGCTCCTGGCCTTACTACCAGGAACAAGAAGCTACTAAAAGCAAATTATATTAGGGCATTTGTCTTCACTAAGCTTCGTGCTGCTCTTGGCCTGGAGTCGCTGGCAACGCATCCGTCTCTCTCCAAACATGCCAGGGTCCTCCTCCTCTTAACTTGTGTGCCCGAATCCCTCGTATGCAACCATAACAATCGAAACCCAAGGAGTTCAGATGATTCAATTGGCCAAATGCTCATGTATAATTGAAGTGCATCAAGCACATATGCCAAGCAAAACTAGAATCTCTTGCAAGAAGATTGTCACAGCAGGTTTGGTCCTCTCGTCTTGTTGGTGCTTTGGCGCTTCTTTCCTGATGCCCGGGTCGCAGCTGATCAAATCTACACCGAAGCGACATCAGGGGAGGGCTCCCCTCCATTTCTCATGGGAAAGCATGCTGCTACGGCCTTGGGGTCATGCATGGAAGAAATGGGTTCACTGACAAAGGACAACTGAGAGGGTGATAACGCGATGATGGGGTGATGAGCATGCCACAATGACTTCACAAGCTTAGGTCAGGTGTCACGCCTGAGAGTCTTTGGAGGGATTCGACATGGCCAATGCCTCCTACGGCGTCCTACAGCCCCTTAATTTGTGCTGGCGGTTGATTCTGCTTGGTCTTGCTCGAGTCTTCGGTCAAACACTGCGCCGTCACATGTTTCTTAGTCCGCTTGCCCGTGCTCTTCAGCTGAAAATTATGACTTCGTCTTGGATGCGAAATGAAAATCTTCGAATGAAAAGTGGGCAGCAAAGTTGCAAAAAGTTGATGCCAAGCTCAATCCCTCGCTGTGTCTGGGCGCAAATCACAAAATCCGCATCTTTTCAACGCAAATCATTCCGCCTCACCTGGTTCTCAAGCACCGGCTGTGGCGTCCTAAAGATGCCAAGATGCACTGAATGAGAACACCCGGAAGACTACCCCACTGAGGTCTATGGCCATATTATGGTCAAAGAAGAACATCTGTGAAATGTGTCGTGTGAACTTGGCTGCATTGCGGCTGCATCTAATTCCCTCCCTCCAAAGCTACCTCTAGTCCAAACGGTCTTTTGCTTGAGATGGTCTGTACTCAGCAGGATAAAATTGATTTGTTGGCAAGCTTCTGCCTGATCAGAACAGCTTCGCAGGTGCATCGAGGAATCCATCCGCTCAGCCCGAACCTTCTAGCCAAGGAACCAAATAGCCAAAACAGAAGACTAATGAAGTCTATCTGCAACTGCTGCTCGTGGCTCGCAGTTGCTTACAAAGTTCTTCAGGTTCTTCCATGCGAATCATGTTGCCATGGCCTTTGCCATAGCATGGCCTTGTAGGTTCAGTGCGAGGGCCTAAACTATGCACAGGCGCCGGTTGCCTGCACTTGAGACCATACTCACCTCAAGGTGAGTCCACAAGCGCTCCGAAGAACGCAATACGGAGGTGTTTAGCCTTTGGCACGAATGCTACTAAGTGGTTTCGGTCATGGCCTTAACTACTCCTCAAAGACTATACTACTTGCACGAACGTATTTTCAAGTTCAAGGGCTTTGGCCCTCTTTGAGTGCAAAAACACCTCAGTCATGTAGCTTGTCTTCTCCTTTGCAGGATGACCGCTTATCGACCTGGGATCAAATCGCACCTTGCAAGCCTTACGTTGGTGAAAGTCCTCACTTTGTCAGGTGAAAAAGCTCCTAGTAGCGTCTTGGCTCCTAGTAGCGATGCCAGGAGCCCCTAGTAGCGTTCACTAGTCCCCATAAAAAGCCTAGAATGTCCTGGCTTTCACCTTTCCCTTCAAGCTGTTCACCACTTGCAATCCTTGCATCTAAGTCGATTTCCGTCAAAAGAACCTCTTCCCCATGGCAACAAATGATTTTTAGCATTAAATCAACATGCAAACACAATGGCAGCGCATCATTCACAGAATGTCAAATTTGAAATGCATCAAGGAAAACCTAATCTAGCATTAGCTGGCATTTCTTGAGAAAATGATTTCCTACAGTTGGACTGTGCAGGTGATTCTACATTTTCTCAGTTTGAGCTACGACTTCAACAAATTAACAAATGTAGGACCAGTTGTTGGATGGCTCCACTGTTACACAATGCTTGGACAAATGTTGGCCGAGTCACAAGAAGCAAGGCACATCTTTGGCCTTCTTCTCTTCCTCTCACACAGAGCATGCGGAAGAAAATGGTTAAAGAAATTGTAGAAACTTGTAGAAACACGGAAACACGTATGAAACAAAAGCCGAAACACCGGAACATACAGGAACACGCGTTTAAAAGGCCCTCTTCTCCATTTAACCTGCATCAGCCCTTCTTGTGAACCGGCCTCTACTTTCGTTTGACCTCCAAAGACTTTTCTGTAAAAAATGCAAACTAGAATTAAAATTCGTCTGTGAAGGCAATGGCCTCCAACCTACATTGCAATGGCCTCCAAAAAAAGAAAAGTCTGTTTTCGCCACATGTTTCGTCCTCGTCCATCGTCGTCGTCACACCGCCAGGCATTCGCCCAACAGTCGCCCAGCCCGGCGGAGGCGCTCCGGAGCTCCGTCGTCCAAGCGCAGCTCGCCCAGACCGGCGCGCTGCAGGACGATGGCCTTCGGCCCCAGATGAAAGAGTCTTTGTTCACTTTGAAGGGGTCTCAAGTTCAGCAAGCAAAACCTTCAGTGAATGGTGGTCAGGATTTGGTTGGAGGTCCAAAAGAAGGGTGCTGCCTTTCTGAAATTTCTTCTCATTGTTCCAGTGCAAAATAAACACAAGCAGGAATCGCTACTAGGGGCTCCTGGCCTTACTACTAGGAACAAGAAGCTAATAGAAACTCCTGGCATCGCTACTAGGAGCAAGGACGCTACTAGGGGCTCCTGGCTGCCTTGGAGCCCTTTCAGCTTCGTCCCCGGCCTTGTCAGAAACTTCAACTTCCATGATGTCTTCCAATGGCACTTTCGTGAGATGGCCTCAGCAACAGTTTGCTGACTCTCTGGCTGTGCATAGTTCGTAAAGAGCAAGAACTCTGACACAAAATCGCAAAGAGACTCTCAAGGGTTGTTCCAAATTGGAAAGTGTTTTCATGCTCGTCAATCTCTCTTGGCGTGCCCAGTGGCCGTCTCTGCTGTAGTAGAGGAAGTGGAGATCTGACACCGCCGCCACCAAGCCATTCTCATCCCTCACGGTTTCCAGCAAGGCCATGGAGGCCAGGCTGGGGTCAGATGCGACGAAGTGCGCCTGGAGGACGCAATGCGTCACTGTCGGGTTGGACATGACTGCCCAGCTTCTCGCTGGGAGGGCCAACTCTAAAACCAGTTGGTTTGAGGCCATCGCTCTTAGGTTGGAGGCCACTTCCGACCTTCAGTTGCTGCTCGGTTCGCCCGCGACGCCCACCTTCAGTTCAGCATCTCTTTGGTCGAAAGGCCGCAGCGCCCGCTCCACGCCGTACAACGCACGTGGTAGACGCCGGCGGCCCTGTTCAGTCCGGCTGGCAGCATTGCCTGCGCTGTAAAAGCTCCTAGTAGCGTCCGTGTTCCCAGAAGCGATGCCAGGAGCCCCTAGTAGCGTCCGATTGCTCCTAGTAGCGATGCCCTTTGCTCCTAGTAGCATTGCCTATGCAAGTTTCTTGAGGAAAAGAGTGCAAAGATCGTTTTGAGCGCTTGGGTGTCCGTTGCATGGGCGCCCAGACGGAGTCTCTCAGTGGTCTGACGGGTCATGTCCAGGCAGCCGACGATGATTCCACCCGCGCAGCCGAAAAGACCTGACAGTGTTAGAGAAGTGCAACAAGTTTGTCTCGCGTTCTACAAGCAGAAAGGTGCTTTCTGAAAGAATGCGTGGACTCCTGTCATCTTTGAAACAATAAGTTACTAGTAACAAGTGCATCGCTTCTAGTAACAAGTGCCTTTCTAGTAGTAACAAGAAGCGAACGTAGTAACAATACGACATTAATTCATAGTCCTTTCGGCCTTCGGTGGCACCGCTGGCGCAGCCACGGAGACCCCCCCGGCGGCAGCCACGCACCGGCCGCGTGCAGAGACCGGTGACGGAGTGGCACATGGTGCCTCGGTAACACGGAGGTGTGCGCCTGTCGTCTGGGTCTGACGTCTCCTTTGAACAAATATGTTGTTCGGACTGACCGGAAGATCAGAGGATGGAGGGTGCTGGCATACTATATCAACCAATAGGGTTCTTCTGAAGTTGACGTGCATTTGGCCCATAGTTGAAGACGATCCTATGCCGGCACCACAGAAATACACTGTCTGGGGATTGTGCCTCTGTTCCTCAAGTGGGAACATCATCTCCAGTCTTGCGGTCTGACTTGTGCCAATCTTGCCAGGTCACAATAACATTGCAAAATGTCTGTCAATTGAAATTGCATCCATATGAATACAGTAAGATGAAGAGAGATGAAGTACGTGGTTCGGTTGTATTCCGTGTCTTGGAGCTCCGGGCCCATGCAGCTGTCGCAAGCTGTTTTGAGACCGCCACGCGTGGGTGGATTCTGAAAGTCCTGCCAAATTCCAAAAACGGACACCTTTTGAGAAAAAGATGGAAGAGAGAAAGGTCCAAAAACGTCCAAGAAAGAGGAATTAGATCGAAAAAGCATGAAGGAGTTTCCGTGAAAAGAAGGGTAGAGGACGCTACTAGGGGCTCCTGACATCGCTACTAGGAGCAAGGACGATACTAGGAGCTTGACGTGATCGACTTGACGCGTACTGATCGCCTCTGGAAGGCAAATACGACAGCCTTGCGAAGCAGCCCCAGTCGCCTTGGTCGTTGGGCCAAGGACACTCCCTGGACACTCGCGGTTCCGGTGAAGCATTCAGGCATGATGATTTGCCTGTTACAAATTGAAAGGCAAAGGGCTGGTTTGATAGACCCCTAGTAACTCGGTGGCAAAGGTGGCAAAGAGTCTTTTAAAAGAAATGAAAGTCGTGCAAAGAATTGTATGGGCCATATGGGCCAGCATCCATCACATCCCGAAGCTTCAGTGTCCAAGATCTGAATTGGTCTCTCTCCTTTGCAATCGCAAACTCGTTCGGATCGATTCGCCCGGCAGTCTACTACGGGTTGAGTGCAGTCGGTTCAACGCCAACTCCCCCGGTTGGCCTTAGAAAGGGAGTTGAAGCACTCGAAGAGCGCATTGCGGACACAGCCACCAGTTCCCAGGAGGCAGCCCTCCAACATGTCCTGCGAGAAAGTTTAACGGCTTCAAGGTCTGAAGTGGAACCTTAGGATCCAAGAATAAGTCATCCTAACTAGTAGTAACAAGAAGCTACTAGGAACAAGTAATGAAATAGTTCTGAGGACATCTTTTGGGGGGTCCAAATAGGACGAAAAGCGAGCCATGCGTGATCAAACGACAAGTCCATTCATTGCGAGTCGAACGCATTGTCCATTCATGCCTTCAAAGCCTCCGTCGTTTGCACGAAACGACTGGGATCGGAGGTTTGGCCAAACGGAAAGCTGGTCCTCTGGTGACCTCGTCGCCCCCTTGTACGGTGCCAAGGCTCCCTCCTACCAAGCTAAGTCGAACAGAACTGCGCTTGTTCCTAGTGACGTCTTGCTCCTAGTAGTAAGGCCAGAAGCCCCTAGTAGCGTCCTTGCTCCTAGTAGCGATGCCCTTTGTTCCTAGTAGCTTCCTGTTCCTAGTAGTAATGCCAGGAACTACTAGTAGCTTCTTGCTACTAGTAGCGATGGCCTCCAACCTAATAGCGATGGTCTCCACCTAGTAGCTTCTTGCTACTAGTGTTTGGAGGAGTCTCTCTTTACTTCTTGTCCCTCTGTGATAAGCAGATTGATGCAAAAATCACGTCTCTTGCGTCCTGGTGCTTTGCACCAAAGCTCCCACATGTCCCTTCGATTGCATGTAGTATTTAGAAAAGGAATTTATATGAATGTATACGTCCCATCTATATGTCATCTGTCCATACCTGTGTTTGTTTTTCAGTTTTGCCAGGCGTTTGAACTCTCCACAACTCGTTTTGACCGGGCCTTGCAACTGCGGGCGACGGAGCCACAGAAGGTCACCGGGGTCCCCAGGACCTCCAAACGTCCGACGAACCACTTGAGCTCTCGCCAGAACTGCTTCACATAGTGACCTCAAACGATCTCAAAATATGCAAAAGATGGAGAATCTCCATCTTTGACAAAAAATGCAAGCACTTGACTAGGGCGACTAGTGGATACTAGGGAGTCGGTTACTTGCCTCAATCTTGATGTACAGCAAGCGCCACGAATGAGTAGAAACTCAACGTTTTGTCATCTGTTGATAGCCAACAAAAGCTTTTGCCTCGCAGAGTAGTGACGAAGTTCTCTGCATCTGCAGTGGTCTCCTGCAGGGTGTACTCATCAAAGCCTCAGAGTGGAAACTCAATCCCTGCATTGGACTTACAAAAGGCTACCAAGGAAATCCGGGATGAAAAAGAAATCACTTGTTACTAGTATTAATGGCCTCCAACCTACTAGCGATGGGCTCCAACCCAATAGCTTCTAGCTACCAGTCATGTTATCATCACCTCCTGAAGAAAAAGACAATTCCCAATGAAACGATTCCTAAAGAAGCTTCTAGTTGCTAGAAATCTCTTTTTCCTGCAAATCTCCGGGAGCCCGACGGAGTACGGCGCGGTCGACCGAAGAGAGGCTGGACAAGAGACGCTTCCAGAAAGCCACCTCGATGAGCCGAATAGGTCGAACCGCATCCAAACCCATCTGACGCTTCTAGTAGCGTCCTTGCTCCTAGTAGAAGTAGTAAGGCCAGGAGCCCCTAGTAGCGTCCGATCGCTCCTAGTAAAAATAGAAAAGGTCGCTATAGAAGAGGTGTACGCTATATAGGCTACTAGTTAGTAGCTCTATTAGGTACTAAAAACGCTCCGAGGAACTGGACGCAGGATAGCTCACGCTCACACTGTTCGAGAATGAAAGAGTATCGATGTTTCGCACTACTGCAATACCCCCATGTTTCAAACAATCCGTGTCCTCGCTTCTGTCAGGCTCTCCTTTCAAGTGAAGTTCGCATGACAGGGCGCCCCACGTCGCCCGGGGCACTGCCCCAGCTGCTCCCAGCGAAGGAGACACGGACTTTAGCCTCACCGTACAGTTCTACCAGATATGAAAGAGTAGGCTGGCCAGCATAGTCGGATGAAGGAAGTTCCTCAATTGCTTGGAACGAAGGTCCTTCAAACAAGCATATTGTTGATGTGTGTTTGGCTCAATGGCTTTTGGAACTTGTGAAACGGATTCTGGGCGTGCACCAAAACATAAAATATACGTGCAAAAATAGACCTGGAAATTCCGTTTCTTCTTAAGCAAAATTGGTCAGCTTTATCTTAAAGGCGGAAGCTGGTGTCTTTTTTCTGGAACGGACATTACCGGGAATCAATCACAACTGTCTCACCGATCTGAAGTGTTCAGCAAACACAAGTGAGATGAGGATTGATTCGCCTGCTTTATCTTCTTTGTGTCAACTCTAGGGACTGGAACAAACACGTTGACCCACCACCTTCAACTTAGTGCTCTGAGTGCTCTGCTGAGCCCAACTCCAAGCGATTGAAGTGCAGCTTGAGGCCCTCCTGGGCACATCAACAGCCGTTCGCGGTCTTCGCAAGAAATCACTTCAAGGACAGCAAAAATAGCTACATGGAAGAATAATAAACCAAAATGAAAACACCTCTGCTGCCTCATCATCTTTTGTTGGAGTGTTTTTCATTCCAATGTTCAGTTTGCCATTGATGCTAACAGTGCCTTCGTGAGAAACCTGCTTTGTTGCCTCTAATAATTGTACCGCTCACCTATCCTTCTCCAGCACTCCTTCCAGATATGACAAACACCGACACTGTGTCCTTCTCAAGGCCCAAATCGTCGCCGTTTCGATCGGCTGTTGAGTCCGTGGACACACCCAAGCCTTGGAGACGATGGAAGGAATGAGTCCGTCAGGAACTTTGCGATGAAGTGTTTGGATGGCATGAGAGCACTTCGATGGTTTCCGTCCACCTTCCCAAATACGGTTTGATTTCGTGGTGTCTTCTGGAGTTGTCCGAGTATTTGGAACACGAAACGGGAACAAACTCAATTTGCTTGAGATGTAAATCTCGATGTGGGAACCCTCCGCAGGAGATCTGTCGAGTTCGCCAAGACATCAACATATTAGGTGCAGACTGTGCAGAGGTAATCTGCTACTTTCCCCACGACGTCCATGCGAAAACGTTGTTTCTATTCTACAACAAGTACGATACTTGTCTCCTGTCTGGAGCAGTTCCCCGAGTGTTGCAGGCGTGTCACTGCGTAATGCGTAATGGCGAAGGTAAAGTCATTAGGGATCTTACTTCAAATGTGTTCGGCTAAACTAAAAGACATGAAATGACATCAATGTCGTTAGGTTGGAGGCGATCGCTCTTAGGTTGGGAGGCCATTGCAATTGGTTTAGTTTAACCATACTTTGTTTTTCATGTTCAATGTCGTTGTTATCTCCAGACTTCACCTCGGTCCTCCAGCATTCCGAACAGCCTGACGACCCCAGCTGGAGCGGATACTGGTGGCCAGGGCCATGACATCAAAGATGAAACCTTCCCGCAAGCGCTTTGTGCCGTTCAGTACCAGTTTAAGTTAGCATCAAAGCTCGGCCAAAAACTTCCGGCTTCAGCTGTGAACCCGCAACATGGAAAAAAACAAAGTGCTAAGAACTCCAGCGAATTCTCTCCCACAACTACGGTCACAACCGTATGTGCAGCATTAATACCTCAAAGGCCACCTGATTGGCTTGTCTCCGATCCCTCTGCTCTCGCTGCAAAACGCAAGTGGCACCTTGGTCCAGCCGCAGGTCTATGCTCCTGCAAAGACCAATTCGGGTGTTCAGTCTTCCAGTCTTCCCCACCTGGCCTACAGATTTCATATAAATCTCAGCTTTTCTGTCAAAAAGCGTTGTGCGAATCTCACAAATGTCACACCATGTCACCTGCTTTTCTCGTTTCTCTCGCCTGAGCTTCACCTCCAATCGGTCAAAGTGCAGTAGCTGTGGCCGCTCCGCATCGCAATAGCGGCTCAGCACCAGCTGCAGAAGCCTTGGATTTGGAGAAAGTGCCATGATGTCTACGATTTGTACAAGCGACCAGTTGCTAGTTGCAAAATCAAACTTGGGGCAGTGTTCTTAACCCCTATATGATGCATTCAGAAAGTGAACTGGCTAATCAAGCATTGTTGGCATGAAAGATTCAGGTCGCCTGAATCAAAGGATTTGGAAGGAAAGCTTACAGCATCCGTTTGAGTGAAGCAATCCTTGTGAGTCTCTGAAAACAGAAGCTTGAAGCGGCATCAGAATGCCTTGCTGCACTCAGGAGAAAAAAAAAGATAGTGTCCATTTACTTGGTGTGAAGCAATGTGCGTGCTGTCAAAGCCGTGAATATACGAAGTGGCAATCTCAGTACCACCTGTTACTACCATGTTACAGTCTCAGCTGTTGTGAGCGAGGACTGAGTCTGTCTGCTGAGGTCGGAGAATGCCTCTGAGAAACGGTAAAGCATCCTCCTGTTGTGCGAGACTTCGTGTACATGTTTTGTGTGCGGGAAACAAGGACACGCTTCAAAACTTCTTCAGCGCTTGTCCTTTCATTGCTCTTGTCTGTTAGTCTCTGTTCTTTTCTTCTTTAGACCTTCAGACCTTTTCCTTTCTTCCTTCATCTCTTTTGACAAGCACGCTTTTCCAACAGTTCCAACTGCCCAAAACGCCAGGTGTGCCTTGCCCTCGCCCCGCCGCTTCAAGAGGACCGGGTGCGATGCATCCTCACGCTGGTTGTCTACCTGCACCTCGCGCAAAGTAGCTGTAAGGAGCGAGCGTAGCAGTGTAGCGCAAAGGAAGCACCTTGCACATCTTTTGCACTTACAGTAACAAGGACGCTATTAGGTGCAGGCCATCGCCACTAGGTTGGGGGCCATCGCTACTAGTAGCAAGAAGCTACTAGGAAGCACCTTCCAACTACCAACCTCTTCCACACCTCTTCCACGCCTTCCAACTACCAACCGTCGTGTTCCATTCACCGACGGCGCCTCCTGGAGGCTGAGCTCCAGCGTCTCAATCAAATCGTGCCGCCGGAAGGCGCCCACGATCTTCTCCACGGAGCAGTTCAAGAGCTCCCGGCGCAAGACTTCCTCAAACTGAGTTCGGTGTCGGGCTGCTGGCCTTGCTACTAGGAGCGATAAAATGTGATATAGGAGCGATCGGACGCTACGAGCGTGGCTCCTGACCTTCATATTCATCCAAAATTCAATTATGAGTCAAATCTGTGGTTAGAAATCATGTTCTACCATCTGTTTGTGTATTCAAAGACCATGTTCTTACCTGTTCGATTTGTGTCTTGGTGTCCAGAGACTGTTGGAGACTGTTGAGACAACATAAAATCAAAGGAGGATTGTCACGTGTGAGACTGGTGATATGACTCCTTACTGAACTCATGAGCAACTGACGGAAAAAAAGGTGTTGCGTTCACTTGGATCTCCCTCGTTGTCAAGAAATGTCCTAATTCCTGCTGACGCACGTGCTATTCAACTTCTTTGTGACTCATCTTCGCTCGGATAAGCCCTCTCATCAAGCGAGGGGCATCACTGTTGTCCTGCCAGGGCAAATTCAGAACGCCATTCTCTTGATCAAGGTGGGTCGAGTTCGCTCGAAGTAGCATGGCATCATTTCGGCAACTCTTGGGCGGGAACCAAATGAAATGTACCTTCAAATGCACCTGCCTTCCAAAGAGCTTGCATGTTTTCTTGTCATGCACGTCACTAGTGTCGACATCTGCCCCTTCAAGCACACTTATGCTCTAAAAGGATTTCGGTTGTTAAAGGAAGCCCAAACCACTAAGTGATAAGGTGCCTGAGCTTCTGGAAACGCACCTCAGGCATGGGTGCCCAACCGAGCAGTGTCAGCCACACGTGTTCTTGAAACATAATCGACTGCAGTGATGGCAGTATTCAAACCAGCGCCAAGGCACAGGAAGTCGGAGCGACCAAGGAAAGGCCAAGGCCAGCCAGGTTCACGTTGACCTTTGTCCAACAACGTTGCTTTTCCAGCGCAGAATTTCATGTTTCTGAGAAGTAGCTTAGAAGAACTGATCCAAATCATTCCAAATCCAAACGTTTCGTGCGGCATCTGCACATCTGCACATCTGGCCCTGCTTTTTTCGTGGCCACCGTGCAGCACGTTCGTGTGTCTTGAGTGTCTTGGCCTGGCCTGAAGCTCCCGGTCCTCGGACAGTGCAGGGAAGGCTTCGGGCCTGGCAAAAATGTGAAGGTTTTTTGGTCCGGTCCTTTCGTTTAGTTGTTCACTTTCACCTGTTCTACAAAGAATCCAGCAAACAAACATCCAAAATATGTGGGATTGAACACGAAGGACTCATGTGACTCATGATGTCAATCTCTTTCATTGATCTTGTTGAACCAGTTGAATGCACAGAGAGAGAGAGAGAGTAAACTCTATAGATGTCTTTCACTGCCTTTCCAAGTGTTCTCTCATCCATCTCATCTCTGGATGTATTTCCTCGTTTGGAAAGTGCTCAACTGCTCCAGCCTGGGCCGATCTCTCACCGTCATCACTAGACTGGACCCAGACGTGACCACATCATAGAAAAGCCTCACGGAGCTCTGCCAGTCCGAAGAAAAACATGTCGAATCGAATTCATGTCTAAACGATCCTGCGGTCACTCTTTGTTGGCTCGATGCTTTTGTTCGGACAAAAGGGAAGAAACAAAAAGAAAAGGGATGCAAAACAATAAAAACTGGTCGCCCTGTGAAGCTGAAAGCCCGAATCGCTTCAAGGCGCAGATGCTTCGAGATGTCGAGCGGAAGGGACTTCTCCGTCTTCCTGAGTGCTCAAGTTCTCTCAAGCACTCTTGCTCCTAGTAGCGATGCCAGGAGCCCCTAGTAGCGTCTTGTTCCTAGTAGCTCTCTGAGCACTCTTGCTACAAAGTGTTTCCTTCGTCAGAAGAACACTTCTTCAGACTGAATGGACTAAACTATGCCTTACTATTAGACAAGAAGAACACCTTTCTTTCGTGAAAATTTAAATTTGAGTTTTTGCCTCTCTTCACCTCTCCACAAGCTAATTCCACCCCCAAAACACCCCACACCATCGACCCCAACTCCGAGCGGCTCCAAGGTGAGCCGCGTCATCACTGGCGTCAGGAAGCTCCGCACCTCCAAGCGCTTGGCGCTGCCCAAAGGCTCGGCCCAGGCCTCGGGCAGCCGGACTCTCGTTCGTAGCGATGCCCTTTGCTCCGTTCGTAGCGATGCCAGGAGCCCCTAGTGCGTCCTTGCTCCTAGTAGCGATGCACTTGTTCCTAGTAGCGTCCTTGCTAATAGAAAAAAATAAGGCACAAAAAATGGGGTTGATCTAAGGCAAGTAGCAGTCGCTAGTAGCTAGGAGGCCATCGCTCTTAGGTCGGAGGCCATTGCTAGTAGGTGTGGTTTGCGCGTAGAGACGCTGGTCACGTCTCATTTGTGTCTGAATGGCTTCTCCCAATGGCACAGACTTTTCCCGCAATACGGGGAACACATGCACCCAGCATGCTTAGGTGTTGTGACTGTTTTGTCCCATCATGTGATGAAGGAAAGACCAAAAGAAGAAAGAGGCTTTGTAGCAGAATAAAAGGGATTCATGACAACAATAGGGCTTGACTGGGATGTTCTTCCTCAGTATATTTCCGTTTTCTCCCTTCCAGTAACCGGTGCCTTTACCTGCGGATTGAAGCTCAAGTGACTGAAACCACATGATCAACGATCTATCGACTCAAAGCACTACCTCTCAATCCTGCTTAAAGGACGACTTTTTGCAGCAAGAACGTCAGATGCTGGGTACCCTGGCGAATGGCCGAGTCTGACCCGGCTCCAGCTTGAGCCCACGCCGATTCACCTGGGTGCCGAAGAGACGCGACATCGCCTCATGGTTCAATCTCCGAACCGAAAACAAACAGTTGAACTGTTTGGGTTGATTCTCATCGTCTCAGAATGCCTCAGTTATCCCCTGCTTGGTCCTTGCCACCATATCCACAGCTCGCAAAGCTCGACCTCGCTGAGGCGAAAGACTGCAACTTCAGGAGTGCTGTGACCTGACCGCCGAGCCCAGCCTCCACGCCCCAAGAAGAATCAAATCGTGAATGCAAAACCCAGGAGCAAGGACGCTACTAGGAACAAAAGGCATCGCTTCTAGTAACAAGTGCCTTACTAGTAGTAACAAGAACGCT